ATTTTGTTGCCCAGTCACCCAGTTTTGAGAGATCCTTTTGTAGCTCTTCACAGTCTGCTTGGGACTTAACTGCAAATTTTGCCACCTCACTGTTCACCTTTTTCCAGATCATTTATGGGTCCCTGTCCAGCCAGAGACCCCTGCAGGGCTGGGCTTTGTTCCCACTCTGCACAGCACTGGGATTGCTGGTCAGGAATACAGAGAGGCTTGAAGGTTCAATGCTTACCAGTTATTCCCCCACTCGATCATGGTCCCTGGCTGGAAAGAAAGAGAAGGAATTAAAACCATGTCACGACTGCATTTATCCTCTGTAAGCTGGGGATCAAGGTCATTCTCAGGCTCTGCTTGCCCACCTGGGCCAGAAAGGAATCCCACCCCCTTCCCCACCCTGTACAGTAGGGCAGAGCTGACTAGTGCATGAACCAAGGTGCTCACTCCCCCAAAACATCAGGTATAGGCCACTGCCAGACCAGGATAGCAGATCAAATGGTCTGAGCCAGGTGCGCCCACCTAGCTCACCCTATGCTCTAGACCAGTGGTTCTTAACCTGGGGTGCGAGATGCCCTTTCTGGGGGTGCGGTACGGAGAAGAGAAAGAAATCTTAGAAGAATTCTTGTTCTGTGAACCATTGCAATTAACTACAAAAGGAATCAATGTGGTCAATCTCGTCAGACCTCTTTTTGAAGCACAAGATAACGCTTGACGTGTGTGTATCAATTTGCACCGATGGTGCCCCTCCCATGCTACAAAAAAATTCAGGATTTGTTGCCTATATAAAGAAAGAAGTACCTCATATCACGATCACACATTGTATGTTGCACTGTCATGCACTTGCCGCAAAGACTTTGCCTACAAGATTGAAGGATACTTTGTCTACTGCGGTGAGCGCAGTAAACTTCATCAGAGGATGATTCACCTTTAGTTTGTACGTTCTCAGCTCGTAGATGTTGGGCCCGACCCGGGGCAAAGGCTCATTCCAGAAACTGAATTCCAGGAGTAACTGGTTCCTGCGAGACAGCAGCATTTTACTCCTCTCCTTGCGGAACTCCAGGTACTCCTGCAAAGAACAACAGCTGAGGGAAGCCGCTGCCCCCAGGGGCTGGGAGCATGAATCCCAGCGATGCGCACCAGAATTCCACTGTGCCCAGCGGCTTGGCGGCCACATTGCCTGGAGCACCTGCATGGGGAAGAAGGGGAGGCAGGGGGCTGCCAGCTGGGGAAGGGGCATGATGCACATGGCAGGGAGACTGCAATCACCTGGCATGGGGTCAGTGCATATGCAGCACCATGGGGAGCGTATGGCAGAGCTGAGGTGGAATTATGGTTAGGATGAGTTGCGGTGAGGTGTGCCATACCTTGTTCTGTTTCAGTTTGTTCATACAGTCCATGAGGGCCGGGTACCCGCCGGAGAAACGCCACAGGTGCACTGCAACGAGAGAGTCAGGCCTGGCTGGGAGCCCTTGTGAGGCGAACACGAGTGGTCAGCAACTGTCCAGGGACCCAGGCACTCCACCCAAGCTGCCTCATGCTCCAGGGCTAATTCCACCCTCTCTCTCGGCCAAGGGCAGAGCTGCCACGCGACCTGCCCAGCAGGATCGGAGGAAGTCAGTACATACACACCACAACCCATGGCTCTCTCTCCAAAGCTAGGCCTCCTTTCTGGGCTAGTCTGGAGTAGTGCTGCAGCACTACTGACCTTCGCTGCCAATTTCACCCTCCTTGGCCCATCACTGATTCGCTACCCCACGCTGGGCAAGGAGGATTTTCTGCATGACTTTGCTTTGTTGCTTCTGATTTCATCTGTGCTATCGACCCTAAGCACAGAAGTGGCTGATGGGACCCGTGGAGAGGGGGTGCTGGGTTAGCTTCTCCTTCTTTACAGCCAGAGACCTAGGTTCAAGTCCCAAGTGACAATGAGTGAGCTGGACCAAAATCCGAGTTTGCCCGCATCAGAAAACCACCCATATGATTTGACATGACTGACAGCGTCTGCTCAAGATAGAGCCTGGCAGTAAAAGAGCACTAATGACATACATATTTAGATAGAACAGTGACTTTCAGCAGATCATAACCTTTCTCCTGATACCTCACCTGGCCTGCTTTATATGCAATATCACAATTATATATAAATAAGGAATATGGGGGTTACAGGGTGAGGTGCTCCCCCAAGGTACAGAATGTCACACTGACCACGTGGATCTGTGCAGGACTGGGGCCAAGGGTATGTTTGACCATCTTCAAGTGTGGCTTTACTCTCACTAGGTAAGTACACGGGAGGGGGTGTGTGCACGGGAGGGGGTTGGGGTGCAGCGCTTATCTGGGGCTCCAAGGCGGGGCGGGGGGGGGGGGGGGCAGCACGTGGAGGCACAGCCCCGTCCCTGGGCTGCAGGGAGGGGCCGGTAGCCACTGGAGCGAGCAGGAAGAAGCCGCTCAGCTCTGCTGCGCTGCTGGTGGTGGGTGGGGCCCTGGGCCATTGTAAATTGCCCGGGGGACATGTGTGGCAGGGGAGCGCCCAGGGGCGGCAGGCGGGGCCAAGGGAGAGACCCCGCCCCAAAACTGCTGGAGCCCCATGGGCCACATTGGGGAGGTTCTCGGGCTGCAGATGGCCCGCAGGCTGGGAGTTTGAGACCCCTGGTTTAATTTGAACCCCCCTCTCACCTGCATTTCAGTCTGTTTCCACCAGAGGGCAGGAGAGCCACAGAAAGTAGTACAGGCTATGCATCTGAGGCCAGCTCTGGGCAATGAATAATTCAGGTCTTCAACCCACACCCCAAGTCAATGTGCCCAGCCCTTGGTAGGGCAGGGAACATGTCTCCTGAGCTGCCTGCTTCCTGGGCCACCAAAGCTGCGCAATGCCCACCCCGTGAGCCCACGAGTCCTGCCCAGCGGCCACCTGCTCACCTGCCTGGTCCTGCTCTCCGTACCACGTGTTCCAGTTCCCAACCAGGTCACAAGGGTAATCGGTGTCTGAGTGCAGCTTGGGCAGCACCTCCTCCCTGCAGAGGATGCAGAAGGGTGACAGGGGCAATGCCCATGGGTGGCTCGGACTGCCCTGCAGAAGAGCTGCATTTAAGGTCCTTCCTCCCGCTGCCCAGGCTACGAGGGATCGGGCAGATGGGGAAGCAAGAGGCAGAGACCTGAAGCTGGCAGAGGGAAGGGTTGGTATCTCTCCTCACCCCTCCAGCTAATGGGGGGCTGCACCAGCTGCCACTCCAAGGCAGAGATATCAGTGCATGCTGGGGCCTGGGGTCAGTGAGAGAGAACACAGGGCTCTGGCAGTGACCAAACCCCCCCCCCCCCCCCCCCCTACAGAGGGTAACAGGCTGGTCCCGGCCAAGACTCCACCCATGCCCCCCCCACTCACCCTTCCAACCCAGCAGGGAATGTCTTGGGCATGAACTGGAGGAAAGTGCTGGTTGCTAGTGAGCCAACTCTAGGTGACACACTCATGCTTCCTTGGGCAATACTGAAAGCCAAGGCCCTGGAGACAGCGAGAGGGATGAGGGATGCACTGGCCTCATAGGATATAAGAACGGCCAGACTGGGTCAGACCGAAAGGTTCTTCTAGCCCAGGATCCTGTCTTCTGACAGTGGCCAATGCCAGGTGCCCCAGAGGGAATGACCAGAAACGGTAATCATGACGTGATCCATTCCAAACAGAAGCTAGGGACAATTCAGAGTCCGTGAACCTGGGGTTCGTGTGACAGGGAAGGAAGATGAGATAGAAGGGGGAGCAGGAGCAGTGGCTGGGGAATGAACATGGAGCTGCAGCTTAGAGGCAGAGCTGGGGCTCTCACATCAGCCTGCTGAGGATCTCAAAGCACTTTGGAAACACACAGGAGTGAGACCCCACAGCCCAGCGAGGGGTGAGTCAGAATCCCCTCCCCTATTTTACAGACAGGGAAATTGAGGCACGGAAAGGGGAAGTGATTTGCCTAAGGTCACACAGAACCCAGGAATCCTGACTCCCAGTCCTGTGCCTTACCCACAAGGCCCTTCTCCTCCCTACACAGGGGCCCGTACAAGGAACAGCTCCACCAGTCAACCCCGCTAGAACCTATTACACCACAGGCTCCTGCCACTGCAGAGGTGGGGGTGGGGGGCGACACTCACGTCAGGCTGTTGTAAGCGTCCAGGCATTCGGGCTTCACATTGTGAACTGCAGCAGGGAAACAGACCGAAAAAGTCACATGAGCAGGGCAGAAATTCAGCCCCAAGCCCCAGGGAACACAAGGGCAGGGCTAAGAGCAGCCAGCCATCTTCCTGGGCTGCGCAAAGCGATAGGAGGGCATCTGGCCTCCATGCAACTCTCACTCTCCGAGCAGTAACACTGCTTTCGTATACCCACCTCCCCCCCACGCACACACACCATGATTCTCTGCACAACCCTGGTTCTAATGCACAGCGGGGTCAGGCACTGGAGACCAGGAACCAGCCTCTGACTTGGCTGGTTCCTGCCAGTCTCAGCTTCAAGAACACCAGGAAGTGAACAGCAGGGGGCGCTGCAGGGCAGGACTAAGGCGCATCGGGGAGATGGGCAAGACTGGACAGCAGGGGCATGCAGGGCAGTGAGGTGCGCGAGCAGAGCCCTGTCTGCGCGCGCATACAGGTGCCGTATCCCTGAGAAGGTTTATTAACCTCCTGGCAGGCCCTTCCCTGGCCAGCTGGGTGATTTGCCAGTCAGATTCCCCTCCCCCACTGCCCCCAGCTCAGAGGGCAGATGAGCCCCCACACCCCCGCTAGCGTCACCCACGCAGGGCCAGCTTTAAGCACACAGAAGGTGAACATCTGCTTGGGGCCCTGCTACCCTGCAGCTCACTGCCTGGCTCATCTCTCCTGCAACCGGGGAGGGGCGGGGGGAGGAGTGGAGATGGAGACACTCCCCCAGCAGGATTGGCATGTGGGGGGCCCTCCAGATCCACCGCCAGCAGGTAGGAGCCCCACAAATGACAAGGCTATCCCTGAACACTGTCCACCCTCCCTGATGCTGGCGTGTAGATTGCAGTGGCCTGGAAAGGAACACAGGAGCCAAGGGAAGGATAAGGAGAGGGGCAGCTCACACTGGATCTTGTACAGGTTGCTGGTTTCTTTCTTCGACAAGAGTGTGGAATGAGCGTCCGTTCGGGGATCCACTTTGTGGACAAAGAGTGAGCGGAACCAGCTGCCCTCGCTGTCCCTGGAGTATCCCCTGGAAGAAGGCGCAGAGGTCAGCAAAGGCAGAGATGGGCCGAGGCGTAGGAGGGAGTGAATACAGGGCTGCAGTCAGGCCCTCTCTCTCTGGCACCCACAGGCTGTCAACAGCAAAGGAGGCATCTGCCATGCACTGCTGGGTTCCCTGGCGCTCTAAAGTCCCTGCCCAGAAAGAGGCCCTGGAGGACTAACCTACACCCTGCCAGGAGCATTGTCCCAGCAGCCAGAAGCAGGTAACTGAACAAGGCCAGATGAGGAAGCAAATCCGTAACACAGCCACCTAACTGAACTAGTCTTGTTACCTATGTAAGGAACCGGCCCTCTGAGAACACCTAAATCCTCAGGGGATCAGAGCGCAGGGCATCGGCAGCGAGCAACACGTGCCCCTCCTCCAAACTGCTCTCCCCCAGGCGTTCAGGAATTCGAATCCCCCACCCCCACTGGATCAGGCTAGCTCGCTGGCCTATTTGTCGACACAGGGTTTTGCCAGAGGGGGGCAGGGTTCAAGGCTCTGTTCAAGGGGAGATGTGCCGAATCATAGAATCATAGAATATCAGGGCTGGAAGGGACCTCAGGAGGTCATCTAGTCCAACCCCCTGCTCAAAGCAGGACCAATCCCCAACTAAATCATCCCAGCCAGGGCTTTGTCAAGCCAGGCCTTAAAAACCTCCAAGGAAGGAGACTCCACCAATCTGCTAGCTGACACTGAGGCAGCTTGCTGCATTAGTCGGGGGGGGGGGGGGGGGGGGTTAATCGGGTCCACTTGCTTAGAGAGGAGGACAAGCGCATTTTATCAACCAAAGATAGACAGACCTTGATTGCCACAGGCTCAAAAATACTTACATGTAAAACACAGGAAGCAACATTTCTTCAAGGAACCCTTGGTAATTAACAATTGAGGTCCTAATACCAAAGAACTGGGATTAGAAAATACCACAGGGTTTCAGAACTCCACTCCCCAGAGCCAGTAGGAAGGGCGGCATTGCAGGCAAGGAGAATGTGAAGCACTAGAGTGCATGGGCTTGGCTGCGCAGCTCCTTTTCAGAGTCTGGCAGCAGAGGCCCTGCAGACCAGGTTTGCTTGCCTGTCTAATCTGTGGCTCTTCAGGAAAAGGAGCACTGCTGAAATGTGGTACAGCGTAGAGAAACCTGTGCCAGAGACTCTTATCAGGCTGCCTCCTGTTCAAGCCCCACTAACGCAGGATGCGCCACCTTCAGTCCAAGACCTTGTCTAATAAGCAACTGGAGGTGGCCTCTCCAAACTCTTCACCTGCACGTGCAAAGTAAGAGGCTGTCTCCGGGGGGGACACAAGGGGGTGAAAGGTGCACACAGGTGGGATATCGGCACTCCTCTCAAAGTCTGCCCCTAATCCCAGCAATTCATCATTGGTTAAAACAAATCAACAGTGCGGTAGTGACAGCAACATTTATAGTGCTGTTGGGCTTCAGTGCTAACGACCAAGGAAGCACCTTTCTCTCAGAGCTATTGTTGCAGGCTGGCTGCAGACTCAGGAAGACAGTGCTGCATCAGGACATCTTTAGAAAGTCATCTTCACAACCATAAGGGCTGGAAACTTCCTGGAGGTGCCAGAGTAGTGTTGCCATGGTGTACTGATGCAGATACAGATCCATCTCCCCGCCTCTGTCCCTCCCATGAAAATCAGCAGAGATACAACATCCACAATTTGTGCCGGGCAAGACCTTTGCCCCAATGCTACAACCTCTAGTAACACATTAACAACAGAGAGAAAGATAAACAACCCTTCTCCTGGCTTCAAACAAACCTGCCAGATGCTTCCTGAACATTTCAAACCTCCACTGGGCCCCCTCCTCCATCCTTCCACCCTCCGAATCCTAATGATCCAGAGCAGCCGGGAGTGACCCCCCTGGGGGCCTGAGCTGCCCATCAGTCCCTTGCCACATAATTGTTACAAAGAGCTTTGAAATCTAGCTGGATGGGCAGGATTGTTTGCCATTAACCTGGGGACTCTATTCTGCTGCAGATCTGTTACGCCCAGGTTAGGGGGCATAACAGCTCAAGTGGCTCTTGGGGCTACAGGTCTTTCTCCTCTGACTCCTTTGATTTCAGTGCAATTACTCCAGACTTGGAGGGCAGAATCAGGCCCCTTGGTTTAAGTGTAAATGACCCCTCGTGATTGCAAGTCAGCTCCTAGGGGTGCCCTCATCTCTCCTGCTCCCCTCAACTGTATAAAACTCATGGAAATCGATTCATTCTCTCTCCTAACACTACAGTCCCCTGGGACAGAAGCGCGTGGCGTGGCGTGGCGTGTCCTGCCCTCTGGGCCTGACCGTGGCTGCCTGGGCATTGGAGAAGGGGCCACTTGCAGCTAATTGTTGGCCTTTCAAGCATGCAGGGTTCAGTCCGAGCTTGGGGCTGCCCTTCCCCAGCCATTCAAACAGCTGCCCCCAACCCCCCAATTCCCTTGCCAAACTTAGGGTGGGGATTTTGCAAACTCAGATACTAAAGTGCCTATGGTAACCAGAGGATAAGGCTCCCAAGCCAAGAGCAAAAGGTCACAGTGATGGAGGGGAGAGACAATGGGGGTGCAAAGGTCCAGGCTAGGAGGGGGGAACGGGGAGGGAGATGATGACACAGGGGCAGGGGGAGAGGTGACAAAGGGCCCACAGTGGCCCTAATGAAGGGAGGAGTGCGGGGATGATGGGGAGCACATGGTGTCCCAGATGTGGAGAGGCCCTTGGGAGCGGTGATGGACGGAAAGGGACACAGATGGGGGGCACTGGAAGGGGTGGCACAGGGGCCAGAAGCAATGGGGTTATGAGGGGCAAGGATGCAGAGGAAGGACACTTTGGGGGGCAGGGGACAAACATAATGGGGTATGGGGGAACAGGGGATGGACGCTTTGAGGGCAAGGGCCTGGGGTAATGGGGGTATGAGGGTGCATGGGATGGACACTTTGAGGCACAGGGGCCTGAGATAATAGGGGTACGGGGGCACTGGGGATGGTTGGGGCACAGGGACTGGAGGTGATGGGGGCACGGGGGACAGGGGATAGACACGTTGGAGGACGGGCCTGGGGTAAGGGAGGTACGGGGGGGATGGACACATTGGGTGACAGGGGCCGGAGGTGATGGGGGCCCAGGGGATAGACATGGTGGGGGCAGGGCCTGGGGTAATGGGTTTACGGGGCAGAGGGGCCAGGGAGGGACACGTCGGGGCACAGGGGCCCAAGGAGATGGGGGCCCCGGGGGATGGACACGTCACGGCTCCGGGGTGATGGGGTACGGGACTCCGGGGACGGACACGTCAGGGCGCAGGGGCCGGAGGTGACGGGGACTCCGGGGATGGACACATTGGGGCGCAGGGGCCGGAGGTGACGGGGGCCCCGGGGACGGACACGTCGGGGCGCAGGGGCCGGAGGTGACGGGGACTCCGGGGATGGACACGTTGGGGGGCGCCGGGGACCGGTTTCACAGGGGCGACGCCGGGGGCGCGGCGGGAGGTGACCCGGGGCTCACCGGGCTCCGCTCAGGGCCAGGCAGGGTCCCCGCAGCAGCCGCCGCAGCGCCGGGCTCTCGCACACCCGCGTCGCCATCTTCGCGCTGCGGAGGCTCCGCCGCAGCCCGGCGGTGCGCGGGGGCGGGCCGGGGAGGCGGGGCCCGGCCGGGCAGGGGCAGGCTCAGCCCGCGGCGTCCAGCGCTGCCGGGGCCGCCTCCCACGCGCCCTAGTCCGCTGCAGCCGGCAGGAGGAGCCCGCAGAGGCCGAGCCCCACAAATACCCCCTGAAACCTCCCCCGCCCCGCCCCGCCCCATCCCTTCCCTGGCCTATCCCCAAGCCCGCCACCGCACCCCAGGGTTGCCATTAATCCCACAAACCCAAATATCCTAGCCCCACCCCTTCCATAGGCCCCGCCCCTTCCCCAGGCCCCGCCCCCGCTCACTGCATTCCCCCTCCCTGGGTGGTTCACTCATTTTCACTGGGCTGGGGTAGGGGATTGGGGTGCAGGCAGGGCCGGCTCCAGGCACCAGCCCACCAAGCTTGTGCTTAGGGCGGCACCTGGAGGGGGGGCGGTGCGGCGCTCTGGCCGCAGGGGGGAGAGCCAAGCCCCGGCCGGAGCTCGCCGCCCTCCCCCTGGAGGCTTTTTTGCCTGGGGCGGCAAAAAAGCCAGAGCCGGCCCTGGGTGCAGGCTTACCTGGTGTGGCCCCCAGGCAGCGGCCCAGCAGGACTACGGCAGGGTCCCTGCCTGTTCTGGCACCACGCTGTGCCCTAGAAGTGGCCAGCAGCTCTGGCTCCTATGCGGAGCCGTGGCAGGCGGCTCTGCACGCTGCTCTAGCCTGCAGGCACCACCCCTGCAGCTCCCATTGGCCAATGGGAGTGGGGAGCCAGTGCTCAGGGCTGGGGCAGCACGCAGAGCCGGATCTGCTGGCCATTTCCAGGGCACAGCACGGTGCCAGGACAGGTAGGGACTAGCCTGCCTTAGCACCACCGCACTGCCAACTGGACTTCTAATGGCCCGGTCGGCGGTGCTGACTGGAGCCGCCAGGGCATGGAGCACCCTCCATGGGGCTGGAGCATCCACGAAAAAAAATTGGTGGGTGCTCAGCAGCCACCGGCAGCTCCCCGTGGCCCCGCCCCACCCCCCGCTCCACCTCACCTCACCTCCCCCTCCGTGTCCGCCTCCTCCGTGGACGCGCCACCGCGTCCTGCTTCTCCCACCCACCCAGCGCTTGCGCTGCGAAACAGCTGATTCGTGGGGCAGGGAGGGAGGGAGGGGGATGGGGTGGGGATTTGGGGAAGGGATCCAATAGGGGCAGGGAGGGGGCAGAGTTAGGGCGGGGACTTTGGGGATGGGGTTGGAATGGGGGTGGGGCCAGGGGCGGGGATGAGGTGGAGTCGGGACAGGGCCAAGGGCAGGGAAAGGGGCGGGGGGGGGGCGCGGGCACCCATTGGTGCTGGAGAAAGTTAGCGCCTATGCACCAGGGTCCCTTTTCGACCAGGCGTTCCAGTCGAAAACTGGACACCTGGCAACCCTACCCCCCACCGCCCCATTCCCCTCCCAGACACTCCCTGTCCCTAGCAGCCTTCTGCCCCCACCTCTCCCCTCCCTGCCCAGGTAATACGAACCCATGGCTCACCGGGGCTTTCTTATCCTGCCCCAAAGCACCAGGCCTGGCTCCGCTCCCCCTGCTCAGTCCCACCTGCCTTAGGTTGTTCCATTCCCTACTCTGCCCACCTGTGACCTTGCAGCTCCTAATCCCCAGAGCCACAGTGCAGCAAAGGGGTCAGGGTGACCAGATACAAGTGTGAGCAATCGGGACAGGGGGTGGGGGTAATAGGCACGTATATAAGAAAAAGCCCTGAATATATTGGGACTGTCCCTATAAAATCAGGACATTGGGTCACCGTAGCAGCCTGGTGAGTTTGTTATTGTGGGCACAAAATCCACCAAAAACCAGCCCCCCGCCCCCACACCAGTACCAGGAGAATGGAAATGCCCAGAAAGCTTCTCCAGGCCCCATTCCATCCTGCATTCCAGGTGTGCAACCGCATGGAGCCCAGCAGGGTTACTCGGGTCCTCATTTCGAATTCAGCCGCTGGACTTCTGTTCAGTGTGGCTGGTGATGCATGAGCCAGAATAGCCTCCAGCTCCCTCTGCTGGAGCTGAGCTGGCTGCAGGGCTCACACGTCCAAAAGGAATGAACCCTCACACTTGTACCGCCCATGGAGGCAGATTTTTTTGAATATGAACCAGGCAGATCTGCTGAGTTAGAAGGTGCCCGTGTACTTACCTAGTGAGAGTAAAGCCACACTTGAAGATGGTCAAACATACCCTTGGCCCCAGTCCTGCACAGATCCACGTGGTCAGTGTGACATTCTGTACCTTGGGGGAGCACCTCACCCTGTAACCCCCATATTCCTTATTTATATATAATTGTGATATTGCATATAAAGCAGGCCAGGTGAGGTATCAGGAGAAAGGTTATGATCTGCTGAAAGTCACTGTTCTATCTAAATATGTATGTCATTAGTGCATATGAAGTTATGAGATTGTGTTGTATGGCTGTCACTAAAACATGCTGTAAGTTGGGGAATCAGCCAGATGTTCGCTCCCCAGAGACAACAGCAAGGAAAGTAAACAATGCCCAGGAGGGTGTTGAACAACCATCACCAGCCATTGTCCAGCAAGGGAGCTACAGTGCATAAGGCCACACCAGGGGAATTGCTCAGCCTTGCCTGGAGACTCAGCAATGCCCAGCAGACATGCAGGGCCATCCCTACATTTCCTGGTGCCCTGTGCAGCTGCGTGCTGCTCCAGCCCCTGGCCCCCACCCCTGCTCAGCCCCAACCCCGCCCCCACTCCATCCCTTTCCCAAAGCCCCCGCCCCTGCTCTGCCCCCCGCCACACACATTCCAATTCTGGCACTAGACGACCTAGCCACTGAGTACATTAATTGGAAAGGGTATTTCTCAATGGTTCTCCAGGTGCTTGTGGATCACTGTGGGCGTTTCAGGACATTAACGCAGGCTGGTCTGGAAAGGTGCATGACGCCTGCATCTTTCGGAACACTGGCCTGTTCAAGAAGCTGCAAGCTGGGACTTTCTTCCCTGACCAGAAGATCACCACAGGGGAAGTCGAAATGCCCATTGTGATCCTGGGAGACCTGCCTACCCCTTAATGCCGTGGCTCATGAAGCCATGCACGGGGTAACTTGACAGCAGCAAGGAGCGGTTCAACAACAGGCTGAGCAAGTGCAGCACGACTGTTGAGTGTGCATTTGGCCATTTAAAAGCCTGCTGGCGATGCCTGTATGGGAAGCTGGACATAGCTGATGACAATATTCCTATGCTTATAGCCGCGTGCTGTACGCTGCATAATATTTGTGAGGGGAAGGGTGAAAGCTTCACTCAGGGCTGGACCTCAGAGGTTCAACGCCTGGAGGCTGAGTTTGAACAGCCAGAGACCAGGGCTATTAGAGGGGCACAGCATGGGGCCATAAGTATCAGGGATGCCTTGAGGCAGCAATTTGAAGCTGAAAGCCACTAATATTTGTTGCTATTCTCCGGAGTGCTGTGCTGGTAATGCTAGGAGGTGATTGGTGCACATGATGCAAGAAGGGGGCTTAACATTATTGTATGTTGCTTTGCAGTGCTCTTTTTGCAAAGAGTCCTGTGGCACCTTATAGACTAACAGACATATAGGCGCATGAGCTTTCGTGGGTGAATACATGCATCCGAAGAAGTGGGTATTCACCCACGAAAGCTCATGCTCCTATACGTCTGTTAGTCTATAAGGTGCCACAGGACTCATTGCTGCTTCAACTGGAGGAGAGAGTCAAATGAAAACATTCATCAGCAGCAAAGGGGATAAGGGGGGAAGGGAAGGTCTCAAGAGGAGGGGGTCCTGGGACGGCTGCAGATTGTGTATGTCCAGGGATCATATCCAACCTTCTCCTTTGGAGTACAATGCAGTCGGTGCTGTACTTCAGCAGGGCCAAGCTGCAGAGGGATGGGTGTTGAGTGCAGTGGGTAGTGAGAGTCCACAGTGCTGGCCTGTGAAGGGGGAGGAGTGGAATGTCACAGGTATAGACTGGAGCCAGGAGGTTGATAACAGTGTGTTGGCGGTGTCTGGGGGGTGCATAGGAAAAAGTTTGCGACAGCGGCTGCAGGCAAGGGCGAGCATGGAGCTGCTCAGTTTGAAGAGCTAGTATCGCCTGGAGCGTGTCCGCTTGGCGCTCCATAATGTTTAAGAGCTGCTCTCCTTTTGGTCCCTCTTCTCGCTGTCCCACCACTCCTTCAGTTCCTGTTTCTTAGCGGGGGAGTGCATCATAACCTCACGCATAAAATCCTCCTTAGTTCTTCTTGGCCGCTTTCTAATTCTGCACAGCCGTTCAGCCGCCGATAACAAAGAGGGGGGCTGGGCTCCCAAGGTCACCTCTGTTAAGCCAAAATGCAACATTTTACAGAAGCGGTATTGTTTGTTTGCAACACAGACAACACTGATTCAGTGCTTTAAAACACAGCCAGTACTCACACACCTGTCACTAACTGGCTGGCCCTAGGCAAGTACACATAAGCCACAAGACCCCCAAAATGGTGAGTAGCCTCAGGGACAGGGTAAATCACTCTTCCCGGACCCTGCTGTACACTGGGCACGTGGCTCTTGGGGAGAGCCAGCACTGTAGTGGGGCCTGATAATCATTCCTGTCCCCACACTTTCCACAGGCTGTGTTCATTATGGAAGATATCTCGCTGCTGAGGGTGAGCAGGGAATCAAGGGAGGGTCTTCTCCATGACTGCAGCTTCCACCCTGGCCCCTATGCGGCTCGCCTGTGTGCAGCAATGGTCCCCCTCTGCCCCCCGTGACGGCACAGTGGCGCGGGAAAGTTACTGTTAATGGGGCAAGAAACAAAGCAGCTCTGCCGAGGAACCTGTGGCAGCGGATTGCCCAGTATCTCCATGAGAGTTTCCTGGGGATCTCTGAGGGAGACTCCCGTGAAGTGAGGGAGTCAATCAACAGCCTGTTCTGCCGCTCAGACTAGGCATGTGGTGGGAGACAAGCCTGCTTTCTGCAACCCTCCTGCCCCCAACAACTCGCTTCAGCAATTCCCCAAATCAGATCCACTTACCAGGGGCCTCCTCTCCTGTTTGCGCTTCGCCAAAATCCAACTGCTGTGACTGGCTAGCCTCCTCCGGGGTAGAAAAGAGCTCCTGGCTGCATTCATCTCTGA